ATAATAGATATGTCTCCATTTCGTCGGATTTTCCGCCTCCAAAGGTCTGCTCGCAATCTCCTATTTCGTGCTAGGGTAATCCCCGGTGACGGGACTAAAAGCTCCATTGAATGGATATTTGTTGGGAAAAATGAAGGATTTGAGGAGACATTGTGCTAAACCTTTTGATCTATTCGAACGGGCATGGAGTGAATTTTCTGCGATGCGAATATTCGGAAGAGAGATTTGTTTGGTTGCAGGCGAAATTGGAAAATCATTGTCCATGGATGATGGAGGAGGAGGATTGGATAAGGATAATAATTATGATATGGGAAAGTGAGGAATGCTTTTTGTTTGTTTTGGTAAGTGTATATTTAAACCTGAGTTGATGATTTAATACATTTAATTTGCCCAAAAGATTTGGTTGAATTGTGTACATCCTAGATCTGGTATTTTTACAATATTTTTTGGGTGAATTGGTAGGACTAGGGCTGCAAACGAGCCGAGCGGCTCGCGAGCTGCTCACGAGCGCTTGAGTCAAAGCTCGACTCGAGCTCGAATTTGACCGAACTCGAGTCGAGCTCGAGCAGCTCAGCACGAACTCGAGTCGAGCTCGAGCCCATATTTTGTCTTGTCGAGCGGCTCGAATACAGTATAAATTACTAAAATACTCTTTATATATATGTTAACTTAGGTTCTTATTGGTAATTTTACCTTTCTACTTACATTTTTTCGAGCCGAACTCAAGTCGAGCTCGAGCATTTTGATTTCAAGTCGAGCTCGAGCCGAACTCGAGCTATTGAAATTTTTTATCGAGTCGAGCTCGAGCTCAAGCTCGAGCAGCTAAAAAAAAAGTCAATCCTGCTCAATAAGGCCAATGCTCTACTCGACTCGGCTCGTTTGCAGCCCTAGGTAGGACTATAAATAAAACTAATATGATTGTAAAAATGTTATATAAGTATAATATGACGTGTATGAGGTGCAAATTCCTCATTTATATTCGTAACCCTGCCAAATTGGGTTGTTTCCTTGCCTTGACCCAAATTGTTTTTTCGCCTTAAAAAAATATTTGTATAATCTATATCTATATTATAATATAATATAATCTATATTATAATATAATATATGTTGTTATATAAATTATAATAAGAAGTCAACTAGTGTTAAATAAAAAATATAATTAAAATATTTATGATATATATCATTGTTAATTCTAAAATAATTAAAACTTAATCAAATTTATAACTTTAAAATAAATGTACTACATTCTTTTAATTAATTGTCAATTTATAATACTTGTACTATTTAAATCTAAAATTTAATAGAAAACTAAATGTATTATATATATATATATATATTATTAATAATAAATTTGATTTATTTTAATTTATCTTGTTTTACTTATTTTATTTTTCTATAAATTTCTAATTTCTTTTAGTTTATCTTGTTTTAGTATTTTATTTTGTTTTAAAAATGTATTTAGTTAATAAAAAATTAACACATTAGTGATTAAATAAAATATATTACACATATGAAATAATTGAAACGAAATATAAATTAAAATAATTAAATAAAAATTACACTTTTACTAATTAATATAAATTATCTATTCAATAAAATTAACTTACTATATCTATATATATATAAATAAATTTACCATTTTTTAAAAATGGCAGGTCAACTTTTGTCAAATTTTAATTAGCATTAATTACTTACCATTTTAAGTAATTTTTTTTTATTTTTTGTTTTCAATAAAAATCGGGCAGTGTTGCCTTTAAATTAAAGAATTTGTTACATATTTTTTTTTTGGTACATGGACCTTCCGGTTTCCGAATCCGCAGGGGAACCGACTAATTCAAAATCGAGTCGGGTAGGACCACAAGGGCAGCAACGCTCTCCCTCAAGTGTTTTTAACAATTTGTTACATTTTTTTATTTGAGGGCGTTTCAATAAAGTTTAAGATAAAGATGCATGATTTGTGGTATGTTTCCATATTTAATTATATAATGTTTGTTTTTATTCAATGATTATCTCTTCTAAAAATGATGATTATATTTATCTCTTCTAAAAATTATCATTCACGGGAAAAGCAGCCCATTGTTTTTGGGAAAAAATTGAATTTATTTGAATTACTTAATACTTCATGGAAAAAGCGGCCAATTTTTTTTTTTTTTTTTGGAAAAAGTTGATTTTTTTGATATGATTTAAAGAAACATATAATATCTTATATAAAGGAATTTACTATTCAAAATACACATTCTCCATATTTAATTGTCAAATAAAATCGCATTAATTGTCAATGACGAGTAAACAGTCCGCATATTAAGGTAACTAAATAATTAGTTCGGATTTTGCGTAATTTAAAAATTATCGTGTATCAACTAAAACTGCACAAAAATAAACTTTATTAGACAAGGGTTGCCGAAATAAGAACACACAAAATAAAAATGACAAGTGCAATTTGCATGAATATTGAATTTTTTTTTTTCCATATTGTAAAAGATATTTGCCATATTGAATATTTTTTTTTTCAATCATATCAATAATTGCACGAATATTACTGCTAAAAATACATATTTGATTTTTTTTCAATCATATCAACAAAGGGTCTTTATATTTGCACTTTT